GACCACAGATTGCAAGTTTTAGACGTCCACTGACTTTAGATTTGTGGCTGTCATATTGAAAGATTTTCTTTCCAAGGTACTTCCTGGGAGTTACCAAAGCCAGAGAAAACACCGCCTCATGGTAATATCCTAGCTGTAGAAAACAGTTAGCACTTTTAGGCAAAAGGACCTGGAAGAGCAAATTCCCCCCCAAATTTCCACCAAACTCACCTAAAATTTCAGGAGATAGCGCGGGAATCTCACAGCAGACAAATGCACCAGGTTCTAAGGTGTCGCAGGTTCATCACTCATCACTCTGGAATGTTCTAGAGCTCTATCGTTGACCTCTGCTGGCCACTGTACTTACTTGTGTATTCAGTGGGCAGCAACAGCAGAGAGTTGTGAGCGCACCTGGCTCTCATAAAAGAAGGGGTGTCGCTCTGCTCAAAGTCCTACCGCAGACTCCAAGTCTCTGGAACCACCAAAGGAGGGAAAGAACTTCTTTAGGTCTGGGAGCCACCAACAAATCCAGAGCGGCACCTGTGGGTTTACTGGCCAATCTGAACACGCGGATTCATGTTCATATCCTGCCTCTTTCACTGCAGATCTGGGGATGTAAGATACATTTTCCTTCATCCAAAGACAAGTCCAAGATGGCCACGTATGAGAGGTGCCCAGGACACAGATGGAAGGCCCAACACTGAGATATGAAAGAGTGGAAGATGTCACTTCTGGTGGTGCATGAGGGGACAAAAGAGCAAAATAAGAGTTCCACATCACAGTGGCAGTTTCCTTAACAAACCAGGCCATCCAACTGGACACCAGGAGAGCAGGGGTTAGTTACTGCCTGCTCTTGCAGACTTGAGCTTGTGACAACCACAGTTGTGGCACATACACCAGTAGTGACTGGAATCTGCTCATGTCTTTGAATGCTGAGGTTTTCATGTCTTTCAGGGGAAGACACTCTGCTGACGTGATGTCCTAGGATTCTGATACACAGGATGCCATATTGACATTAATAAAAATCATGCTTTCCATTTTTCTCTTGTGGATTGCTGTCTATGAAGCAAGGGGCTCCATATTTTTATTTCCAAAAAATGTTTCTGTAAAATTGGATGCATCTTACGTAGACCTGTGTGACTTATAGAAAAGTAATTTTATTTGGTACATTCATTTCTTTGTCTCATAATTTCCTTATTTACCTAATGGAGATGATGTAGGTCCCCACCAAGTTCATTAGGCTGTGGGAAACTTTAAAGATGTCATTTATGCAAAAGCCATTTGTGATAAAGAAATATTCGAAATGTCCCACTGTCAATGCCAACATAGGAGCAACAGGGGAAAAGTCAGTTTCCTGTAGGGAAGAGAATATAGAATTTCCAGTATTGTAGCTTTGTCCTAAGACCTGCCGGGTTTCTTGGTGAACAGCTGGGTAACCCCAGAGGAAAAGAGAAAAAAAAAAAATCAGACTTTCTGAGGCTGGTAGTGAGGTAAATTTTCTTGCCAATGGAATTAGAACTGTTGGCTTTGATCCCATTAAATCTGAAGTTGGTATTGATTTCCACCACTTCCCAAGAGCAGGAGAGAGGTGCCCACGCCTACTGATGGCTGAAGACACCCAATTTGTTTGTCTCTGAGTGAACACAAAGTCACACTTTGCTAAAGAGTTTCCTGGGTCCGTGTAATTACTGAATTTCCTTCCAGAAATTACTGTTGCATAGACATTTCTCATGATTTAGTCCTCCACAAATGTAAGCAATTTTCTTGAGAAACACCCTCAGATATATGCTTCATCCTTGAACATGCCCAGTCAGTTGAGATCCGAATGCTTCTTCCAGATACATTCGAGTAAAATGCTGTAAACATAATCATCTTGTCTGACTTTTTAGTCTCCTACATAAAAATCTCAACATAGGGGCCACTGTTACTGAGATTACCTGTTGTAAATATGAGTTATAATGGAAAATCAGACGTAGAAAATAAGAAAAAAAAAAGGTTTAAAAAAGGTAGGGTGGTGGGAGGTCTGGAAGGAGGTCCATTAAAATGGTGACCATCTTTTCCACTGGTTGGTGGGACGACTAACCTAATCTTGATTTTGGACCCTTGACCTGTACTCTAAAGTCTGTTTGTTTGCCTCATAACGACGGATGACTTTTGTAACAAGGGGTGAGGGTGCCAATTGCATAGAAGGAGGCTCGGGATCGTTAGATGCCACTGAAATGGCCTCTCACACTAGCCGAGAATTGGAAGGCTCTGGAAAGTTCCTTTCCACAGCCAGCCGGACCTGCTGGAACACTGTTACCTGCACAGTAGTAGGCTTTTTGTTTTTGTTTTTAAAGAGATAAATAGGATTTTAGAAAAATTAAAGGCATGTTCCCTTTTTGGGGCAACTAATTTAGCAAAATGTAATAAGCCTTCTAATACTCAACAGTCATGAAGCACCATTAAAAATATTCACACAGAAAAGATCTGGGCACTTCCTTGGCCACAGAAGCCTGAGGGCCCGGAACTCGAGGAGACGGTCAGTGCCTGTGGTCAGGGCCCACGTGGATGATGACGTGCTTCTCATAAGCTCTCCTCATGGTTTTCTCGATTTGCTTCAGGAAAACTTGTGGGATCCGTCCACAGAGAGTGTGCACCGTCTCCAGGAACTTGAGCTGGAGAGGGTAGTACATGGACTGAAAGAGGTTGTCTTGAAAGGGAAACTGAAAGATGAACAAAGAAGACTATTTTAGTCACTAAAATGCCATTTAAAATACAAATCATGCTGACTAAAACCGACCGAGGGACTGACTGTCAGCGCCAGGGTCCAGGTTTGTGTATTCAAAGGCTTAGTGAAAGGAACTGCAGGACCTAGATTCAAATCTGGTCTACTGTGCAACCCCAGCAATCATTGAACCTTGTGGACTGCAAGTCTCCATCTCTTAAAAATATACGTATATGATTTACTGGGTCCTTAAAGCTCCTAGAATCTGAAGACAACACCTTTGTCTTAGGACAGAACCCTTTACACACACTGTGTTCACGCTGAGGAGGGGCAGAACTCAAGTAGGTGCTCGAAATCCACTGTGCCTTATCTACTGAATTCTTATTTTTTGCCTTTGAAGCAATCTTAACCAGCTTCAAGGTATGTGTATGATGACCTCAGAAAGTCCAGGGTCCAGCAAGGACTGGTGTAATTCATGGCCATCCACTTTACTGTAATAATTCGTATTTCACGTCTGAGGGTTTGTTTTTTTGTCCTGGATTTGAACGCTCCTGTTTTCCTACGGGATGTGTCCATGAGCAGTATTTTCCAAAAGAAATCGTACAGACTACTTAGTCGCGGGCATATGTCAAAATTCACCCCACTCTTGTTGAAAGGGAAAAGGCCGCTAGCAGACTCAGACAAAGCTTCATTCTTAGCAAGAACATTTCATGTGAAAAGAGGAGAGATGGAAGAAAAGAACGGTTAAAGGGCAGGATACTCTTGCCCGACAGCCTCGTGTGTGGGCTTCGGTTTCCCAGAACAAGTCTCGGTGCCCTTCAAGTTCATCAGAAATGCTGCTCCGGCATGTTTATCAGAATGCAGTTCCTTCCCGGAGGGAGGTGACGACTGACACAGAACAGGAGTGCATGGGTCCAGGTCAGGGCTGGGACACTCTGTTCTTCAGTGGCGTGGCCTATGCCACTGCTGCACCCTTGAGGTGGGCATGACTCTACCCCTGTCCATCCCCGTGTCCCCAACCAGCGGAACAGCAGGTGGACCTGGAGTCCTCCTGGACTCCTCTTCCCCGCGCCCCTCGGCCCACCCCTCAGCAAGTCCTGAAGCACCAGCTTGACAGTCAGCCAGAGCCAGGCCCTCCCTCTGCGTCCCTCCCTCCCGCGAGCCCTTGCTGCGGACCCTCCCTGAGTGGTACAGCCCAGGTACAGGGGGCCTTTGTCTTCCGCTCCCGCACCCTTCCACCAGGCTGCCTCAGGGGTGCTTCCAAGTCCTAAATCAGAGCCCCCCGCCCTCTGGCAGGGCTTCCCACTGCAATAAGAAGTCCAACTCCTCCCTGGTCTTAGAGGGTGACCTGGGACCCTCTGTCTTATCCCCCACCCCTCCCATTCTGGACATGTGGCCTCCTCCCAGTCCTTTGGGCACGTGGAATTCCTTCCTGCCTAGGGACTCAGCCCTGGTCCTTCTGCTCAGCAGGACCTCCTCTGGGTTCCCATCACCGAGGTGGAAGAGTCTGCCCTATTGCTGACAGTTGTCAGGTGGTGTCCTAAAAGCTGAAAGCAGTCATCTTGCTGGGTTCCACGACCTTCTCCTGAGGTGGCTAATCAGCATAATGATCTCCACTGCACAGACAAGGACTCTGAGGCCCGCAGGCTGAAAGCACAGTTAAGGATTAGCCACTGGAAAGTGACAGAATAGGAACTGGAGCCTATGTGTCCAGGCCCGTGGCCAGGCTCTGACCCCGACCACAGGCACAGCACCATGGCCGGTGGGGAGGGAGGACTCTGTTAGGATAGAGTCTGGCCGGGTGCACTCACACCTCAGTGAAAATTGTCTTTTTAGGCCCAACTGAGGAGTGTCACGGAGTGAGTTGGTGGAATTATTTATGAAACTAGATTCTCTGGCCTCTCTCTGACCCCTGAGAAAACAGACAAGATGAGCTGTAACCCAAGGAGCACAACTTCCTGGCCCAGGCCAGGGCTGATGGGCAAGAGAAAGCCGAGAGGCCCTGGCTGCGAGCTGCGCCCGGCCCTGGACTCAGCGTTTGAATAACTACACGTGAAAACACCCCTGAGTTAGAACAGAGGTTTGGTGTAGCTGAGTCTCCTGGCCCTTGGAAGCCAGGCCCGGGGAATGCAGGAGAGCGGTGGCATCGGCCCACGTGTGCGCCAAGCTCCGGCTGCCCGAGAGGCCAGGCCTGGGGCTCCCCTTGGAGTTCTCCGGTGGTGTTGGGTAAAATGCCTTCTCACATGCACACGGTGTGTCGCCACGTCCTGCCGCACCCCTGCCAAGCCTGTTTGTGAAATCCTGGGCCCTTAAGAAGAAGTCTCTATGAGGCCTGTTAGGGTGGGCAGGCTTCGGGAAGGGGGACTAGAGAGACGATAGACTTTGTGGACTCGCAGTCTCTCTCACTAGTGGTCATCTCTGTGCCAGCCAGGTGGCTCAGGCCTGAGCCTGGTGATTCAGGAGGAAACCGTATGAGCTTCAAATTTCAGCACTACTGAATGATCTCATCAGAATGTGGGGACAGCCATTCACCTGTTCACTCTCTGGCTGCTTTGGTGCCACAGCAGCACAGGTGACTTTTTTTTTTTTTTAAGGTACTGAGGATTGTACCACTTTTACTTTGAAACAGGGTCTTGCTAATGATCTTGCTAAGTTGCCTAGGCTGGCCTCCAACTTGTGATCCTCCTTCCTCAGCCTCCTGAGTAGCAGGGATCACAGGCGTGAGCTTTGGCTCTGCAGCGGTCAGGCCTCCGCCCTGGGCCATCCCTGCAAACACTCAAACCACGGAGGCCACCTTACCAGGGGCGGTGGCTCTGCCACTTCTCTCCACGTTGGCTCCTTGCCTTTCCACTCTGACCTGCTTCTCCTTTCCTCTCTCCATCCCTGGCTCATGGGTCCACGAGATGTAAAAGCCTCTGTCTGGGGCTCCCTGGCAGTGGGAAGGCTCCAGCCACCTCAGTGGCACCCCCTGACCCTGGCCCTGGGCCCTTTGGTGGGAAACGACAAGCCCTCTCGCGCTGTTGCAGATGGGTGAACACCGGCCTGCTGCTGCCTCCCTTCAGCTCTTTGTCCTAACTGTCCCCTGGACTCCCGACTGCTCCAGGGCTTAGAGCTGGCAGACAGGAAACATTGACTGGAACCAAGTATTGCCATCTTATTTCTCCTGGGTCGTCTTTACCCTATCCTGGGACCCCTCCCAGGGCAAACGGCACAGGAGTTCTCTTTGGATCTGAGATTTCCTCCCAAAGTGAATTTAAGTCAGAAACGATGAGAGACTTATGTGGAAATATCAGCTCAGGAGCAGACACAGTTATGGTCCTGGGGACAAGGGGATCTAGTGATGTGGTGGCTTGGGGGTGGGGAACTGGTGAAACCCCAGGCTCTGGGAATATCTGCACTGCGAAGGGCCTGGCGACCACGGCGCCCCACGTGGCAGTGCACGCGGGCTCAGCAGTGCCACTTACGTCCCGCATGGCCTCGTAGAGGGCCTTGAAGGTGGGCTGCTTGTCGTCGTGGTAGACGCCCCGGTTGCCGTGCAGGACCGACACGCCCTCGCGCTCAGCCTCTCGGCAGTTGCTCCCGTACATGCAGTGATCCGGCCGGTAGTTCCACTGGCAGGGGAACAGGTAGAGGCGCTCTGCGGAGACAGGGGCAAGCCACCCGCTCAGGCCCGCCCGCCAGCGGGCGTCCCCAATGGCTGCGCCATTCCAACAGGAACGAGGGCCACTGCGACTCAGACCAAGTTTCAGCAAACCTGACAACATCCTGAGATCATGAACTGAAGTTACATCCACTAAGGACCATGAGAGTTTCATCCAAAACAATGGAAGTCAAATCAGGGCACCAGACAGCCTGGCCCAAGTCCCAGTCACCCGTGTCCTTGAACTCCGCATCTGCAGAGTGGAAATAGCAGGGTCTCCCTCTGATTTTTGTTTTTCTTTGTACCAGGGATTGAACTCAGGGGCTCTCGACCACTGAGCCACCTCCCCCGCCCTATTCTGTATTTTATTTAGAGTCAGGGTCTCACTGAGTTGCTTAGTGCCTTGATTTTGCTGAGGCTGGCTTTGAACTCGAGATCCTCCTGCCTCAGCCTCTGGAGCCGCTGGGATTACAGGCATGAGTCACTGTGCCCAGCAGTTTATCCCTCTGATTTTGACAACTGAATTTTTTAAATACATGGAAAATGTTTAGCAGAGGGTCAAGCACACAGCAGTACTCAGTACTGTTGGCAGCTTGATCAACTCATTTCTGGGGGTGGTGCTGGGGTTCGAACCCAGGGCCGCATGCTTACTCAGCAGGTACTTTTCCCCTGAGCTCCATTCCCAGGCCTAGAACCAACTCCTAGGAAAGATTTTGTGAAATGGACAGACCCACTCGCAATGGAAGCCGGGATTCCTCTTTAGACGAAGCCCTCCCCCAGGACGAGCATGTGCACCATCTCTGTGTGTGTACATATGTGCGAGTGTGCATCTCCAAAGCCTCCCCCAGGACGAGCATGTGCACAGTGCTCTGTGTGTGCATCTCTGAAGCATGTTGTTCACCTTTGGAAGACTCTTCCCCAACCCAGTCTTGCCATCATTAGGTACAGGGAGGCTGCTACTGGCATCTGCTGGGGTGCTCTAAGCATCCTATAGGGGACAGGGATGCCGTCACGTCCTACAGTGAACACGAGAGCCCCCACACTGAGACTGCCACTCTAATCCTACTGGACGCGGAAGACTCCCCCTTGCCGACTGCAGTTATTATGCGAATGGCAGTAAGTTCCTGAGCCTGAGCTGCCAGCTCCTAGGCCTGAGGCCTTTCAGGCTGAGGCCTGAGCAGTAGGATCAGATCACAGCTCTCTGAAAGGCATCACTGAGGGTGAGGAGGGCCCTGTGAGCCCAAGGAAGGGCTACAGCCAATCAACCCTGGTGGACGTGCTTCTTCCTGGGCCGATGGCCTCCCCCCTCACGGAGAGGACCACCTTTAAGAGGCATGGTGGTGCACGCTTGTCATCCCAGTGGCTTGGGAGGCTGCAGCAGGAGGGTCAAAGTCAGCCTTAGCAACTTAGCAAGGCCCTAAACAACTCAGTGAGACCCTGTCTCTAAATAAAATACAAAATAGGGCTAGGAGGTGGCTCCGTGGTGGAGTGCCCCTGAGTTCAATCCCCAGGACCCACCCCCCCAAAACAGATTACTTACAGAAGGCTCCAGTATGGACACCAGAGAACCAAGGACCAGCACCACCACCCCCCCCCGCCCCCCCCGCCTCGCAGACCATGTGTACTTTTGCAGCTTGGTGTTTGACGGGCCAGAGGCATCAGGACCCTCCCAAACACCTCATGGCACACAGCACCCGCTCTCCTCTTCCTGGAGCACCCCATTCCCCCTCGCTTGTTCCCCCTTACCCCACACTGCAGGTTCACAGTCCATGAGTGGGGTGGCCACCTTCAAGTCACAATCCCTAGCTCTGAACCCACAGTTCTGTCCCCTGTGGGGCCTTTCTGCGTTTACCTCAAGGGTGGATGTGAGGACCGGAGAGACGAGAAGCCCAGCGGTGCCCAGTGACTTCCTCCGTGACCCAGTGGTTCACATCAGCCACACAGGACACCTGCGTGGGCATTTGAATCGAACCTGCTAAGGTTCCCAGCTTCACAGGTTGGTCTAGAACCCATCTCTGCTTTTACCAATCCATTGACTGAATCAACATCTGCTGAGTGCCCGCTGTGCAAGCTGGGAACAAAACAGATCCTGGGCAAGTCCAGCCCTGCCTTCTGGGGGCTTAGCACTGGTGAGGCTTTCGCTTCTGGCAAGCGCCTAGGACCTCTTGCACAAGGACACCTTTCTCCCACAGTGGCCTCTGTAGAGGCCTGGACCCAGTAAGGGGCACTGCGTGGCAGGAAGTAGAAATGGCCACGGCTTGGGAATCAGACAGATGTTGGTTCAAATTGGCTTCTACCTGCTGCTGGCTCTCTAACCTTGGTGTTATGAGACACTTGGCCTCAGTTGAGGCCTGAATCTCGCCCCCCCCCCAGTCGGCTGTGACCTGGCAGCAGAGCAGCTGGGAACCGGCTCTGAGCTCAACCTCTGCAGGGTTGGAACACAGGACTCCACCACTGGTGGAGTCAATCCAAACATGCCACATGGCCTTTCCATGCTTCAGTTTCATCATCTGTAAAGTGGGGAGAAGCACAGACACCACCTGACGGGAGGTGGAGGGTGTTAAACGCATGCTGGGAATAGGGGCTGGCACGAAGAAGCAGAACACAAGTGGCGACACTACCTGTCACCACCGTCGGCATCATTGTGAGGTGGTGGGCGTTAGGTTACTAGAAGGGGAAACCAGAGAACTTCAACTGAACGAGAGTGGACTACTTCTGAACAGAGTCTACCTGTGATAAATACTTATTCCAATTGCTCCTGGACATGCAGGGGGCCAGTCTTTCTTAACATTTTATAGGTCACAGATCTGTCTGAGAGTCTAATGAAAGCTGTAGACCCTGACTTTGGAAAAATACAACTGGGAACATATATAGGCTCATAAAGAACATTTGCTTACAAGTTCAGGGATTTATAAATCTCATAAAGACCAGCTAAGAACCTCAGCTGTCGGATCTCAAATAGGAAACAGGATTCCAGACAGAATTTGATTCACATCTTCACACCCTGCAGAATCTCCCAGAACAACGCAAAATATTGAACAACGCAAAATATACTGAACGCACAGTCCACGCCAGCTTCGCTACGTGCTCTGCTGAGGGGAACCCGTGTCGGTGCGTGATAAGGGGCTGCTTCTGCCCCTAGGGCTTTATGGTCTTGGAGATGGTGCACAGTAGGAGCGAGATGAACGGTGCATTCAGTAGTCCTGGAGGGAGAGCTCATCCCCAGGAGGTGAGGTGAGGATGGAATTCTCACAGCCAACAACAGAGACTTGGAAGAACAGTCAAGGAGGACAAGATGGAGGAAAAATGCTTGGAAATCAGTGAGTGTGTGTATATTTGCAGTACTGGCCATTGAACCCAGGGACTCACAGATGCTTGGCAAGTGTGCTACCACTGAGCTGCATCTCCAGGTCTTTTGAGGCAGGGTTTTGCTAAGTTGCTGAGTCTCACCTCAAACTTGCAATCCTCTTCCCTTAGCCTCCCAGGTAGCTGGGACTACAGGTGTACGCCACCACACCCAGCTCAGACTGTGTTTTAGAAAAGACAAATGATCTTAGTTTTCCTGGGGCAAAGGTGAGCTCTTCAAATGGAGCAGGCAAAAGGAAAAAAGTTGTCTCATGAATACATTGCCCTGTGCCATTCCCAGCAGCCACGTGGAACCAGCCCAGATGTCCGTCAACAGAAGAACGGATGAGGAAAATGTGGGATAGATACCCAACGGAGTTTTACCCAGCCATAAAGAAGAATGAAGCTATGACATTTTCCAGCAGATGAATGGAACTGGACAACATTATGCTAAAGGAAACAAGCCAGACCCAGGAAGTCAAGGGTTGGCGAACGTTTTGCCACAGACATGGAAGCTATAGAGGTGGGCAGAGAGAAAGGATAAAGAAAGACGTGTAGGGGAACAGAAGGGAGACAGATAGAGCCCAAGAAGGGACAGAGAGGAGGGAGAGGGGAAGGCCTGGGAAGGACTTGCAACAGGGGCCACTTCGTGCTTTGCATAAAACCCTTCCTGTTACATAGTCGGGGTAAAATCTACCAAATTTTGCTATATCTATGTACAAATGAACCACAATGAATGCAGCCTTTATATATAATTATAATTCATTTATAAATATATATATATAAATATATATATATATAAATATATATATATATATAAAATTATAATGCTAATTAAATACCAATTAAAAATAGGATCAGTAGACTAGAGCAAGCAGGGCATGACATTGATGAAATCATGTTACCTGAAGGTACAACTAGGACATCATGCACCCCCTAAGATGTATGATTATAATGTACCAATAAAAATTACTTTGAAAAAAGTAACTTTGCTCTGGCCTATAATATTCAAAACATAGAAACCTATGTAAGGATGCAAGTAATTAACTTCCATTCTAGTTTGTGAAGCAGAAGAGAATGAGTTTGTTCTTTCGAGAGGAGATGAGGAAGCTCATCCAGTGGAGGTGGTGTTGATGCCGGCAGGAAGGAGGGCAGCTCCGGCCATCTGGGCTGGGACTGAGCAGTGCAGGTGAACCAGCCTTGGCTGCTGTTTTGCTCTTGGGCTCCAGAGTTAAGCTCACAGGAGTCGGCCCGACTGGTTTAGCAGGAGCCCCAGAGAGGGCAGGGCACGAGGACTGCATGTAGTGGCGGAAGAGAAATTCCCCTCTAGTCACTAGAAGCAGAAGGAAATCCACTGTGGCAGTTAAGGGGGACAGATGTGTCCCTTATTCACAGCTCCACCTTGCAGGGGTTACACTGTGAGATCCCCATTTTGTCGGGGATGGAAAGACAGAGGGGGCTAAGGCAGTGTCATGGAGAGGGCTGAGGGCAGGAACCCCCTGCAGATCCGCTAGCCAACCCCGGAGCGCACTAGGGTAGTTACTGAGCACATGATCAATAACCTGCTCTGAAATGGGTGTGTTGCAGGCCTGGTTCTCAGGGCTGTCACAGTCTGATGTTTAAAACAGACAGCTCAGGTGGACTTACTCACTGCCGAAGGAATAAGACCACACATGACTTTAAAATCCCAGATCCCCAAAAGCTCCAACCTCTGTCACATACCAGAGTCCTTTCAAAGCCAACCTATCTTGAGCCCTTGGTCTTGTATCTCTCTCTCAGTTTTATGTGAAGAAGCTCGTGAACTTCTGTGCGCGTGAGACCCTGGGGCTCCCAGGCCCACACTGGCTCCAGGGTCAGCCAGGGCAAAGCCTTGTGGGTGGGCTGCTCCTCACATTTGGTTCCTTTCTGTTCACAGCGGACCCCCTCCCTCTACCTCATGGCAACGTGGTCACTGAGAGCCACCATGCCAACAGGCCAGGCTGCTGGTTGCCCTGTCCCGGCATTCATTTTTGTGAAGCCCTTTCCTGGAACTCGGCTCTCCCAGTCTCCTCTTTTCTTCTAGAACACACCTTGTTCCAGAAAAGGGCCGCTCATTCTTCCAAGAAGACGTTTCTTATTATGCAATCCAGGGGGCCCTCCCCCTTCCAGCCCAGCGGCCTGTCCTTAGGGCCTCATTTGTTCCCTCATGTCACCATCAGACGTCAGTGGTTCCAAAGGACAGGGGACTCTTTGGGAGTCTTCTTCTCCCAGTAACAGGCAAGTTCCATGACAGCAGGACCTGCGCTTCTGCTCTCTGATGCTACATCCCAGCACCTACCCTGTGCGGGCACCCAGTAGGTTCTCAAAAAATAACCCTGGATGAATGAATGAGGTGGAGCTTGTGCCTCTTGCGCCACACGATGGCTGTCCTTCCTCCTGCTTCTCTCCTGTTCCTGACTGCGGCCTCTTTCCCTCCATTGGCCCTGCCTCTCCCCTCCTTTCTCTCACTTCCATTGATTCAACCCCAACTCTGAAGACCAACTTCCCTGAAGGTGCTGAGCCTCTCACCAGGAAGAACACAAAGTGGACACCACCCCTTGTCACACACCTACACCTCCCACTCTTCTCTCGCGCTCTGTCTCAGGGCTCGGGAACTTCCCAGACGCCCCACGCTGGGTTTCCCTGAAGGGTCCTGCTGTGAAGCCCTCGGCTGTGTCAGCCCCAGAGTGCGGCCCTCACTGCCACCCGATGCTGGCTGCTTCTGGGGACTGCACATCGATCCTGGCAGGAGGAGAGCCAGGCCTAAATCAGGCCACTGGGGAGAGCTGTGCCCGTGACAATGGCCCCTCCTGCCTCCCTCGGGCCGTGCACTCAGCTCACGTCAGCCTGTGACGGTCACAGGGTGCCCGCCCTTCTGCCCCCTTTGGCAGAGCTCTCCTGCTGCCCCTCTGGCTGGGTGCTCCGCCTGGTTCATCTGTACCTGGTTGGGGTCATTTTCTTCCCTGCCCACAGCCCACTTTTCTAGAAATGGCCCCGGAAGAAGAAGCAGATCTAAGTGGTCACGTGGAGAGGGAAATGTCACATGGCTGCATGGCTGGTCTTCATAGCCAGGCGAGGTCAGTGTCTGTCTGTCTGTCTTGAGTTGGAAACATAAGAAAGCCATCATTTTAGCCAGTGGACTCCTATGATCATGCTGACCTGGCCACCAAAATGGGCCTTGGGCAAACCAAGGTGTCGGGAGACAGCAAGCAGCCAGACAGGCAGGGGGAGAGGCCAAGACGCAGAGCCCACCAGGCCTTCCTGCAGCCATCCGCATGGAGCCCGTGTGGCCTGACCCACCTGTCGTGAGAGCCCCCGGACTTACTGAGTCTCCCCCTCGCTTGGCCTGCCTCCGTGCACTCGGCTCCGTATCTCTTTCTAGAGCGTTCTCTTTGGGCTCATGTCTGATTTTCAGACTCCACGGAACTCTGGTCTGACTCAAACACCCCTGTCAGGATGTGAGCTCAGACTTCCTCCCTGGAAGGAGCTGCCCGCCCCAGGGGTCCTGTGGGAGGAGCCACCTGCAGGGCCCCAAGGGCTTCGGCCGATTCCTCTTGAGCCAGTTTATGACCCATCATTGCAATTACATCCCCACAGCCTTTTACTATCTAATTATAGCAAGAGTTCTAAAACACTTTTACCTCATGAGTTTCAAACACATTTTAAAATGCAGTGTTACTGGCTAGAGGAGACGCTAGTAACAAAGGCACTCCAGGTGGACCATGGGTTTATGCGGCTGCTTCATCCACAGCAACCCAAGCGGCCATCACATGAATGTGCATTTCCAGAGTCACAGCCCAGCTGCCTCCCTCTCTCCTGCCTAGGGGTAAAGGTGACACGTCTTGTTTTCAAATGTTGTTGGTGTGGGTCATACTCGGTGCTCACAGACCATGTAATTGGAGGGAAACGGACAGTGGGAGGGACATTGCTGGATTCCGGTTAGAGGCTCCGGGGTGGAGTGTGAAACAAGATCAAAGTCGGCCAATGAGGAACAGGCAGTGGGGATCTAAAACTTGGTGACTTACTTCACCTGCCTGGAACCAGGATTCGGAACCAGCTTCAAAATCACTTTATGATATTTTTACGCAGGGGATCTAGGTACGAGTAGGGAAGCCATTAAACTCAGCTGGTTCCGCGACCATTAAAGACAGGGGACTCCTGTCTAATTGCGAAGTTCCTTACGATGGCCTTTGAAGAGCATTTACTCACCAATCTCGTCCTCAAATAGTCTGCAATAGGCTATGAGGGTTTCTGGGAAGGCAACCGCGAGGACCTTTGGATGCCTCAGTAGAGGAAGACGGGCAGTGAGTTTATGTCACGTACTTGTAGCCACACATGGGCATTCACCCCATTGCCATTTCAACCTGTGCATCGTATCTGACTGACTTCTTGGAAGAGTGGTGACGCAGTCGCAAAGACAGTCCCTCAAAACGGAGGCCCATGCTGGAGACCTCAACATCTGTGCCCATGATGATGTTGTGCTAGAGCTGAGGTTCCCCTTCCACCGGACACCCAGGGGGCAGATGGAAGGGCAGGAGCAGGGGACACAGCCCCTCTGCCCCACTCGGGCCCAGTCAACAGCAGCCAGACCCGGGGTGTCTCTGTGGAGCCAGGTGGGCATCCTCCCCCCACACGACCTTTGTGAACGAGGACCTACCTGGGTTGAAGTAAAAGATGATATTTAACAAGTCCTGGTCCCCCCACGTGATGGCGTTCCTGTACGCCTGGTACAGCGGGTACAGCATGTCCTCCCAAGCCAGGCCCGTCGGAGTCATGCTGTTCTGGAAGAGAGGACACCATCAGAGCAGCTGAGGCGGAGCCAGGGGACCGTGTCCACTGAGAAGCAGGGGAGGGGACTGCTTTTCTTTCCCTCCCAGGACAAAGCAAAGAGGGCTGCTGCTAGCCTCGGGCCCGGGACAAAGCAAAATCAGGGCCGCAGGGTGTAGGCTTCCTGGTGGACACACGGATGTCGACTGACCTGGAGCTGGACGGCGGACCTGCCGCTTCTATTCTGAAACCCATGCCTGACACTGAACCTATTTCTTAAGCTTATTTCTTGCCTCTGAAGTACAGAAGCAAAGCACAGATAGCAAAATTGTGGTATCTTAACTTAAACAATTATTGACTCTTAAATGTAACACATTAAATATTCAATTAGTACATAGAGGTAAAAATTCAAAAAGTGAGAATATTTCTTTCACTATCCTCCTCCAAAGCTCATTCCCAGTTTCCCCAGAAGCATCCACAATGAACAGTTAACTGTCTAGGTGTTCTGGAAACTTCTAAGCCATCAACATGAGCACACTACAGTGCCATGATATGCTTGCTACATGTAGGTTTTTCTCACTTGGTTCTTTTTAGAGATCTTATTAGTCTCACTTATACCCCTAACCTATCCTTTTTAAATGTTTTTCAGGGCCGGGGACCAGTCACAGAGCCTTGTGCAGTCTAGGCCAGGGCCCCACCACCACCGCTGAGCTCTACGCCAGCCATAATTAACTTTCTTTTTAATATGAGGATAATTGTTTTTACTGGTTCTTTTTTCTGATGTTATTTAGGTGCTTTCCAGCTCTTTCCTAGGATAAAATATGAAACCACAAACACCCCTGTATCACTGTCTCTGCATACTCATATCAACATGTGGCTAGAGTGATCCCCAAGTTTTTTTGCATGGCTTTGGAAGCCTTGGTTATGCACAGAGTTCAGAAATGCCACAGGATATCCCTGGGCGAGAACTGTAAAAGCGACACATTCCATAGCCATCTGGGCTTTCCCCAAATAAACAAATACCTTATAACTTTCCAGATTAAACCCTTTCCTCTAGGGACGTCCATCCGTACCTGCAGGCCACCTGCCACATTCCCTGAATCAGCGAATGGATGACCCAGGATGTCACGATGGACAACTTCCCATCTGTAAAAGAAATTCCAGAGCACTCACTCTTACCTTGAACTGGGTACTTCTTATCCGAGTTAAATTCATCAGCATGACCCCTGAATTAACTCCTGTAGAGCCGTAGAAAGGGTGGCGAGCAAAGCGGCTATACCAGCCGATCTTGGGGATTTCGTGCTCTGGGGCCATGGCTGCGAGCTGGGTGGAGTTGAACTGCCGCAGAAGCTTCCAGATGTCATCGACAGGTCTCAGGAAGAGGACGTCAGTGTCCACGTAGAGAAGCGAGTCCACGTCCTTTAAAATCACCTTTGGGTGGAAGGGGGACAAAACAAAACCATCATAAAGGAAGTGGCCTGATAAGAAGAGTGTCACCAATGTTCACTGCAAAGTGCTGAATTTGAGAAAAGGCACCAAGCTCAGCTCCTGTCCTCCCTTCTCTTTTGACAAGAGGGATAGGTGTCAATCAAGGAGGAGGCTTAAGGTGATTCTTGATCTAGATTGGCCCAATTCTAGGACCTCAGATCATATCTGCGACATTTGGCCATTAGGTAAATGGGGTCTAATATCGAGTGAAATCTAAAATGGAGGCCATGAGAATGAATTCCCGAAAAACTTCTTGTTAATGAAGTCCAGGAAACAGCCCCCAGCAGATTTGAAGAGAGCGCATCCCAAAGAAGTGTTCATGAACAGCAAACTTGAAGATGCTGCCTCAGAAGTCCTTCCTGCCCAGACTACTTCTTGGGCCCACCTGTGTCCCACCCCTGGGCCTTCCCACCTACATTCCATCACTGAAAACTATAAAATGGAGAGACCACCGCACTTCCACGGATTCCACCTCTTGGGTCCCCTTCTTCCTCGGGAAGGGAGAAGTCTTTTCTGCTGTCCTTTAATAAACTTCTATTTTCCACTCTGACCTTGCCTCGGCGTGCTTCTCTGGTGTTATTCTTCAACATCGGGGAAGCAAGGACTCGTCACCGGTCAACAGCGGTAACAGTGTCACAAGGACACGCACACACAAGGCACTCAGCAGTGGCTGCGTAAGTGAATACTCAGTAAGTAGCAGGGTTGCAAGTAAAACGTCTCTGTTTTCCCTCTGAAAATGTCACGTGCAATCCGCTGCCATTCCCTTCGGCGCCCACGGCATTCCAACACTCGTCACCACGAGAGCCTGTCCAGCAGCCGGGTGGAGCAGAGGGGAGACAAGCTTCTTCGCCTTCTCACACCAGGCTCACTCACCACCTTCACTGGAACCATGCACAGGCCTGGCTGCTCTTCTACTCTGTCTACAGCACTGCACCTCTGGGGGCCGATTCTGCAGCAGTTACTGCTGTATTAACTTGAAGAGGACCATTGTGGGCTGCACTATAGTGGGAAGAGGAATATTACCAAAAGGACATAAATGTAGCCGTTCTAATGCCTTATGGAAATCAGTCCGTCCTAGAAAGGAGGCCCTTGTGTCTTCCGTGGACGTGGGGGCGTGCACAATGGCTGTCTGTACCCACGGGCTCTTCCTGCGTCTCTTCCTCTGCTGCCACATCGTGGGCAAGCACCTCCAGGGAGCCCCCTCAGCAACGCTGGGTACTTTGGTGGTTGAAAGTTTTGGGTTTGAAGTCTGACTACCTGTGGTAAAATGCCATTTCCACCACTGCCTGGGTGACCTTGGACAAGCTGCTTAAGGCTTTGAAGCCTCAGGCTCAGCATCTGGTGAATGCGATTGATAACCCGTGCCACATGCTGCTGAGATGGCTGCATGGCACCGCCATGGTGAAGAGCTGGTGCACACAGCAGGGAGTCAATAAATGCTACAGTCATTTTCACCATCCCACTCTCCTGAGGACTAGGCTCCTTGACTCCAGCCCGGGGAGTCGGTACCTGGCTGGAGTAGTAGTAGGCAAAGAACAAGACACTTTGCTTATTCTCAGGGCTTGGGGAAGAAGAGCAGGGGCCCAGCAAAGGGAGGTGCAGGGAGACAGGGCGGCTTGGGCACAGCAAGGTCCAAGTAAGGGAGGAAGGCCATTGGGCAAGAAAGGGGGTGCGGGGCACGAGGGAGAGAGTCGTGGTCAAGGCGCACAGGTCTAGAGCCTGCCGACAAGTCTGGACTTGATCTTGACGGCTACAGCGGCAAGTCCAGCCACTGGGGCTGGAAACGGCAAGGCTGTCCCTGCACCATCCACCCACACGGTCTGCTGCAAGCCCCCGGGCCCTCCTGTCTCCCCTCCCACTTCCTCTCCCAGAGGCCTCGGTGCTGGTTCTGCTGGGTGTGCTCGGTGCATGGAGCCCGAGGGCTTCTTAGTCTCTGGGATTTCTTCCACTCTCGGGCATTTCCAAGTCCTGGGCTTTCCCAGGTGTCTCTTACTTCCACCCGACCCTGGCAGTCGGGGAGGAATTCGATGATGTGGGATTCCGATGGCCTCAAGTGTCCTGAGACTTATCTTATGGCCAGCACATGGTCTACCTGGGCGTGCTGCCTGTACCTTTCAGGCAAATGTTTATCCTGCAGCTACTGTTGGGAGTGTCCAGGGACTTCTCTGGCTGTCCCTTGGTCACTGGGTGAGGCCTGATCAGGACCTTCTCCCCTCTCCCTGGATTCTGTCTGTTGACTATTCTAACCACCTGCGCTCCAGGGGGCTCTGTCTCTGGGCACAAGGAAAAGGGAGCACCTACAGCAACTGCGAGTCCTCTGGTGACACCAGACAGGACGTGGGGGTCACTGTGGCTTCCACTCTTCTCCTTCTCCTTGGTCTGGAGGGAAGGCTGGAGAGCTCCGTGCTTCTCTGCAGCTGTCCCAGTGGGTGGTGAGGGCGCTGCAGTGGCCAGGGCTCCTCAGTGTGGGTGGGGTCTGACTCACCCCTTCCCAGAAGGCACTGCGAGGGGCTCTTGCCGGCCACACACCCTTCATCACACCACGTCATTTCCTCCCTCTGCCACCCCTTGCAGCCAGGGGCCTCTTACTGTTGTCTCCCTCTATTACAAGGGAAGCTCTAAGGGACGGGGACCTGCTCTGTCAGGTCAGCTTCTTAGGTCCCTGGACCTGACATCCAATAAGCAGGAGCACGCACTACAGATTGAGCTGGTGACTGGCTCAGGACCTCCCAGCGCCCAGCATGCTTTCAGGCTGGCACCCAGGAGAGGACAGGGGCTGAGGAGGTCCGTGAAGGCCTGAAGTGCCCCATCCTCCAGCCCAGTGACAGGGACCTGCAATCACCCGCTTCTCCAAGGGTCCTGCTCCTTTGCTGGGAGGGTGGAGGGTGGAGGTCAGAGACCAAACTCAGGACCGGCTGTGTGCTTCCAGCTGCTGGGGTGTCACACTTCCAGCCTCTCTGGGGAGTGGCTGGGACAGACACGTGTGCACAGGGACACTGTGGATCAGTTCTATTTCTCTTTCTGCACACGTATTCTTAAAAACACAAGTTCACATTGGTACTGATGTCAGAAACCTCTGTACGTTTGAGAAGTCATTGTTGGAGACAATCTGGAGCTTAGGTTACCAGCTGGCCTGCATTTTGAAGAAAGAGGTGTGATTTTACCAAGTGAGGTGCAGTGGCCGGGTGTCATCTCCAGGGACATCACAGAGGAGGGTAATGCACACCTCACAGGGAGACAGTGGCCACACGGTCCAGCAGGCACAGGGAATTCGTGATTTGGAAGAATGCTGTACATTCCCAGGTGAGCCTGGTCAGATGCAAAGGGCCCTGGTCACCAAGCTGAGAGGTTGGGACTGGATTCTACCAGGGAACAGGGGCTCTAGGGAGACTCAGCCTGAATCCACCTGCTGAACATGGCATTCAAAACTCAAAACTCTCTGGGCTCAGTAATGCACGCCTGTAATCCCAGCGATTTGGGAGGCTTAGGCAGGAGGATTGCAAGTTTGAGGCCAGCCTCAGCAGCTCAGTGAGGCCCTAAGAACTTAGAGGACCCTGTCTCAAACAAAAAACAAAGGGGGTGGGTTAGAATGTAGCTCAGTTGTGAAGTACTCCTAGATTCAATCTCCAGTTCAGAAACAAAACAAAGCCCAAACTCCAGGAGTAGCCCTCTGGAGAAAAGGGACCCAGGTGTCAGGGAGATGAGCAAACAGGTCAGTACCGTAACCTTTTCTCTGTTATCACCGCCACGTTTACTTTTCTGTTAGTCGAAGTATATCCAGACCCAGAACATCAGGTCCGGAAAAGGCCCGTACCTTCAAGGCTCAGTAATTCTGGGGCATCTGGATGTCCTTGCAACTGTGAACAGAGCTTGATACATTACGGAAAGAAAAACCACCTGAATTCCGTGATGCGCAAATTCCGGTTGACAGAGCAAGTCGCGCCATGGATCTTTACCAGCCCCTGGCCCTGCACAGCACCATCCAAGCCCTCGCCACCCCCTCCTACCTCACACTAACCAACCAACTGTGGAGTGCACGGGACCCTGCTGTTTCCAAGCACTTGGCGATAAGCTGCATGGCCAGGAAGCCGAGGCTCAACCCAGACGCGACCCTCTGGGGACATTCACTGCAGCCCACTCCGGACTCCTCCGTTGTTTTCATAGTTCTCATCTCTACTCAAAATTAACTTACGATTTACTTACATCGTTGGGTCACTCTCTCCTGATGTGAATGACAGGAGGAAATTGAGATGCATTGTTCGGTCCTATTTCTAGGGCCACAGACATAGTCGAAGTTCAGTAAATATTGCTGAAAGGACAGTTGTATGGATGTTTTGCTTGTTTTGTACTGAGATTGAATCCAAGGGCACTGTATCACCCAGCTACCTCCCAAGCCCTTTATGTTGAGACAGGGCCTCCCTAAGTTGTCCAGCCTGGCCTCAAGCTCACTATCTTCTTGCTCAGCCTCCAGAGTTACTGGGATTATGGGCATGTGACATCGCTCCAGCAACAGTGTGTGTATGTAACTGTGTGTGTGTGTGTATATGCACTTATGTGTACAATACAATCACAGAACACAGACACTTATGGATATTTTAAAATACCAATGGAATCATACTGTCCATTCCTTCCCATTGTCTACCTCGGGGTAGGTCCTCCTCATTCTGTATGTGCAAAGAACAAAGGGTGTTCTGTTCAGTGCAATACATGCTCAAAAATCCTTTTTAATATTGTGAAAATAATGTAAGCAGAGGGAATAATGGAACTTTGGTAAGTATTATTCCTCTGTTTTCTTTTTAAAGACACATATTGGAAATCTGCACAAGAATGGATATGCATTATTAATTAAATAGTATACCACAATTTTAATGTTTTTAGATTTTAAGGTTATTCATTTCATTAAACCCATAGCTTAAAATAGGGTGGCCCAGGAGAAAAATAAA